GTCTTCTAGCAAAGGCTGGAAGATCATCCGTTAAGGAGATGAATGAAGAGATTCTTGGTCAGATATAGATCACCTAGTATTAGGTCCCTTCCAATTTGAGACTCTGTGGATCTGTAATAATCATAATAGCAAGCTTTTATATACCACCTCAAGGTTTGCCAAGTGCGTTCAAATATCATCTTATTTGCTACTCACTATAATCCTTCAGGTGCTATCTCCATTGAGGACACTGAGTTAAATAGTGATTAGGTTTCTGAGGATAGATTTGAACTTCATTCTTCCTGACTCTAGGCAGAGCTCTCTGTCCACTACATCCCCAGCTGCCATGACCTCGGATGCCATCTTAGTCTACCCCTTTCATTCTACTGGTGCAGAAACTAAAGACCACCTAGGGAAAGTGACGTAACTAAGGTCATAAAGTCATACACTTAAAGTTGTAATGGAGCTTAGAGGTCACCCAGTTCAACCCCCTCATTTTACAGATGAGGAAAGGGAAGTCTGGGAAGGCTAAGTGACTTGTGACACCTGTGTAGTTGTAATTCCTACCAGTGCGTCAGATGGGATAGGACTTGGTAGAGAGCTCAGGAAATTAGAGAAAGTGCTGGAGCAAAGAGGAAGGCTCTGAGCCCAAAAGTTGGTTCATTGTTCCCAGGGGCAACTCCGTAATGGACATACCAGAAAGAAGGCTTCCTCCTTTCCTTATCTCAAGTCACTTTAGGCTGTAAGAAAACAGCTTAGCCCTAGAAACATGTACATGGAGCTGGCTTGTAATCCTTTTGATTAACCTGTCTCGCCAGAAAGTCTTCTAGTTCACTTCTATTCTGCAGACTTAGGCCTTTTTGTAAGGGGCATTTGCCTCATTGACTTTTCATGTTCTCTAACTAGACTGAAGAAAAACAGTTGGGCTAGTAAATACAGTCCATGCATGCTGCAGCCATCCCATAGAAGAGTGCAGGGAGCATTGGCTAGCTGTTGGGAGGAGTGGGGAGGGAGGAGAGTGCAGACTTTTAAACCCAGCTGGGGAGCAGGCTTATTGCCTAAGACAACATGGGACAAATGATGATCTCCATAGGGAGGTGCCAGCTGCAACTCATTCTCCTGCTCCTGCTTCAGGTGACTGTTTCCCTGAGGCAGGGATGGTGGGAGGCATTGATTTTGTGAAATTGCAGGCAGGGATGAACAGAGCAGGGCCAGGAATTATGTAGTCATTGGTCTCTGAAGATTCTTAGAGACTGTCAATGAGACTGGGAGGATTGGAGAGAAAACAGGTAGGTTGGAATGGGAGTTTGGAGGACCTGGAGAGGTCTGAAGTTTCTGCTACACAGATCTAGAGCTATGCTGCTGGTGTGCTGTGTGACCCAGACTGAATCACTTTCCTTTTCTGTGCAAGATTATCCCCCTCTGGCCAACGGGATTATTTAAACTTGTCTAGCCTTCTTCAAAGGAAAACTAAGGGCTTGGATTGCCTTGAGAGCAAATATGGGACATATAGAGAAGGGATGAGTTGATGATGGGGATGGCGTTGATGGTTGGGTTTTGCAAAAAGCAATGGAAACCCAACTTGTGAATTATTTCCTAGGAGGTCAGAAAGCAAGTTAGTTAGGCAAAGCCTGGACAGATCAGCTGATTTGCTCTTAATGAGTTTATAATTAGGATTTAAACTCAGAGTTTCTAATTAGCCAGTCCTGAGGATCATATCTGATATTGCCGCAATTTAGAGAACTGGTGGCCAGGGTCAAGATGGGGGCAACCTTTGCTGTACAGGTCAGGCCCATTCCCAGGAAGCTAGGCCAGACAGGGGCTCAAGCTGCTGCCATACCCCATACTCAATCCAGTGGTTCTTCTCTCCTTCTTCTCCTCCTCACCCTCCCTCCCCTACCCAGAAAAGGGCAAAGACTCCACTCTACAAAAGGCCTACTTTCCTTTAGGAAATCCATTTCATAGAATCTCAGAGTTGGAAGGGACCTGTTTGGCAGTTGAGGGCCTGTACAACCTGACTCCAGTCAACCTTACCAGGCTTATTACATACATTGCTCCCCTTTACATATTTCAGTTAAACTGACCTTGTGGACCATTTCATGTGTTATTACATCCCCCACCTCTATACCTTTGCATTGGCCATTCCCCATGCCTAGAACAGACTTTTAAGCCCAGCTGGGGAGCAGGCTTATTGCCTAAGCCAACATGGGACAAATGATGATCTCAATAAGGAGATCCATCTCCATCTCTTAGAATTCTTAGTGTTCTTCAAAGCTCAATTCAAATATCCCCTCTACTATGAGACTTTCCTGATGTCCCTAGCTACCTTTCTGTCCTCCAAAAATTATCTTGTATTTTTTGTACATGTTAGCACCTCTGGTAAAATGTAAGCCATTGAGATCAGGGATTATTTGTATCTTTGGGACATCGCGAAATGCTTGGCACATAATAAATAAGTTCTTAAAAAACTTGTAGGGGCAGCTAAGTGGCAAAGTGGATAGAGCACCAGCCCTGGAGTCAAGAGGACCTGAGTTCAATCTGACCTCAGACCCATAACACTCACTAGTTGTATGACCCTGGGCAGGTCACTTAACCCCATTGCCTCACCAAAAAAAAAAAAAAGACTTGTGGACTTATTGCTGGATTGGCCTCAGAGGCCATCTGCACCAACATTAACCTGGCCAAGAATTTCTTTCCAATGCAGCCCCCAAAAGTAGCAATCTTGTCAGTATCTGAAGACCTTTAATAAAGGGCTTACTGCCTTTCAAGGGAGCCCATTTGACATTTGAATATCCCTAGTTAGGAAATTTTTCCTCATACTGAATTTAAAAATTTCTGTTGATGTCACTGATTGTCCAAGTTCATCCTTCTTTTTGGGGTCAAGCAGAAAAAGTCTATTCTTTCTTCACACAACCACAGAATTTAGAGTTAAAAGACACTCTATTGACCTACCTACTCTAATCAACAAAATTTGTTAATTATTTGCTATGTACCAGGTGTTGCGGCTAGGTGGCATAGTGCATAGAGAGCTGGGTCTGAAGTCTTCCTGAGTTCAAATCTGGCCTCAGGAATTTACTAGCTGTGTGACCCTGGGCAAGTGACTTATCTCTGTTTGCCTCAGTTTCCTCATCTGTGAAACAAGCTGGAGAAGGAAATGGCAAACCTCTTCAGTATCTTTGCCAAGAAAACACCAAATGGAGTCGTAAAGAGTCAGACATGACTGAAGTGACTGTACACCACCCCCACTAGGTGTTGCACCAGGATTGGGGGATACAAACATAACTGTGAGCCAGTCTACACACTCGAGGATTTTACGTTCTATTGGGGGTAGAACATGTATGTACATATATAAGTATTTACGAAGTAGGCACAGAATAAAGACAAGATAATTTGGGGGGGAGAGCACTAGCATCTAAGGAGATCAGAAAAGGTTTTATGTAAAAGGTGGTGCCAGAGCTGGGTTTTGAAAGCAACAGGGAGTGGAAGAGACAGAGATGAAGAAGGGATGCATCCTAGACACAGAGGAGCCACCTGTGCAAAGCTAACTCCACCTAGAGGTAGGAGATAGAACAACAAGCAGCCCGTTCGGCAGCCTAGCATTCTTTTTTTTTTTTGCTAGGCAATGGGGTTAAGTGACTTGCCCAGGGTCACACAGCTAGTAAGTGTTATATGTCTGAGGCCGGATTTGAACTCAGGTACTCCTGCCTTCAGGGCCAGTGCTCTATCCACTGTGCCACCTAGCTGCCCCAAGGCAGCCTAGCATTCACTGTAAGGCACATAACTTGCAATAAGTTTGGAAAGGTAGGCTAGAACCAGATGGAAGGATTTAAATGCAAAAAAAAGCAAAAAACAAATGAACAAACAAAAGCAAAATGAAACAAACAAGTTGTATTTTAACCTGAGGCAATGGAGAGCCATGCAGCTTTTTAAGGGGAAGAGTAAGGTGATCAGGTGTATGAAAACGGTGTTTGTTTGGAGGATATGTTGGACAGGGGAGGGACTGCATACAAGGGTACCAATGAAGATGCCCTAATTGCAGGCGAGAAGTAACAAGGGCCTGGACTAGGGTGGTTGTGATACAACCAGTACCTGAAAGGAAGACCCATTATAACATGCTGGCATATACCATTTCCTCAGGCTGACCTTTCTACTTTGGACACCTCTATTTGTTGGGAGGGCAGCTAGGTGGCACAGTGGATGCAGTCCCAGGCTTAGAGTCAAGAAGACTCCTCTTCCTACATTCAAATGTGGCCTCAGATGCTTCCTAGCTGTCTGACCCTGAGCAAGTCACTTAACCCTGTTTGCCCCAGTTTCCTCATCTGTAAAATGAGCTAGAGAAGGAAATGGCAAACCACTCTGGTATCTGCCAGGAAACCCCCAAATGAGGTCATGAAGAACCAGATACTAGTGAATTGACCAATAGCAACAGCAAATTTGGTAGGAAGACTTTCCCCGACATCAGACTTCAACTCGCTTCTTTGTAACTTCTGCTTAAAGAGCCAGTGCAATCCTTCTTCCCCTTCAAAGACAGGCAGCCATCCGGTACCTCGAGCCTTCTCCAGCATAAACTCTCCCAGTTCTCTAGCCTATCATTGGTGACATTTTAGGACTTCCCTGTTCTTCCCTGGGTCCTCTCGGGCTTGTCAATGCCCTTCCTTAGCCATGGCACCAAGAGCACAATATTTCAGAAGGGGCTGCCTAGGGCACAGCGCAGAGGGACCACCACCTCCCCATTCCTGGAAGCCATGCCTCACTCACCCCGGCTCTTTTGTTTGCCAAAACACACTGCTAAGTCACATTGAGTTGCAGTCCACGGAAACCCTAGATTCTCTTCAGACAAGTGTGTTTTATACCTTTCATGTGATGCCCCTTCAAATCCTTCAGGACGCCTCTCATGCCTTCTCTTTGGGGAAAGGGATTGTCCGCTGGCTGCTCAGGACCAAGGAAGGGATGAGGGAGGCTCGTAGGTTTGGGGTATCATGTCCAGCTTCTAACCTTCACTTCTCCGTTCTCTCCCACAGTCGCACTACCGTCCTTTCTATGTCAACAAGGGCAATGGCATGGGTTCCAATGAGGCCCCTTGAGCCCCCAGCGCAGGAGTGAGACGCCAAGAGATCACCTGACCTTCCCCAGTTGTGTCTGCTACTACTATCTACTCAGCTACTGCTCTGTCTCCAGGGGGTCTGGGCTGGGGGGGGGAACGTGACCTTCCAAGAATTGTCCTCTCTCCCCTCCAGCTTCCCAGTCCTCCAACCTTTCTGACAATCCTAGAATGTGTCAGCAGCTCCCCACTTAGCTACCCTGTGCTTGGCCCCCCCCCCCCCCCCCCCCCCCCCCCGGTCCGCTCAGGCCTCTTTGTCTTCTGCTTTCCCTGTAGTCAGAGAGGACGCTGTCGCCTCTTTCATTTTATGGGTCAGGATATGGTTCACAGAAGGGGCTCTCCCTCCATCCCCCTCCCACACAGGAAGTCCTTCTGCAGATCCTGGGATGGCAGCTCTGGAGGTAGGCAGCCACTTGGCGCCCACCTGCCGTTCCTGCCTGGTGTCTCTCTGTCTTCTTGGCTCAGCCAATACATCGATTTTCCCCTGGAACTGCCGATAGCCATCCTTATGAGTGACCTGAGGGAGCTGTGCACCTAGCAGAGAAAACATCCTTCCACAGGTGTAGACATTGTCTCACTCTTGTCAGCTCGTATCCTTGGCCGGGCAAGATTAACTTCCCTCAGACCCAGGCCTGCCCAGGACTTCTGATCTTGCCCAAGCAGGGCAAAGTTCCTCCTATCTGGCTAGAGACTGGTTTCCTGATGCTTTTTCCATTGTGCCAAATGGGCCCGGGGTCCCTGAACAGGGATAAGAGATACGTCACCCCCAGTCAGGAAACCTATCTGTCTCTACAAGGGAAGCTGTGGCTCTTCAGCAGAGACAGCCAAGCTGCTTGGCTCTTACCTCTCCCCAATCCTCCTCTTTGTAGCCAGAATGGTTATGCTCCTCACAATGCCTTCCCCAGCCTTGCAAATACCTGCTAGCCTGTGTGACCCTGGGCAAGTCACTTAACCCCAACTGCCTAAAAAAAAAAAATGAGGCAAATAGCTGCTAGCCTGGCTGCCTTGGGGTAGAGTACTTCATTCTTTTGCATAATGCAGAATATAAAATGGGGGTGGAGAGGGTGGGAAGGGGAAATACTGGTGAATGAAAATGACTGGGCTGGTATACCGTAAGCACTTAGGTAAAAATACGCTCCTACCCTCCTTCCCTATGCCCATCTCAACCAGAGTTGCCATCCCTCTTTCCCTTTGACCAGTCTCACTGTGGGGAGCTGCTCAGCACCTCAGCTTACCCTGGGCCTGATGGAGAGTGGGTCTTGAGAAGAAAAAAATCAACAACATGCAAAACCAGGAGGAGTCTGAGCCCCCCACCCGAACCCCCAACCCCCGGGGGCCAGAGATGAAGCAGGATTGGGGGGTTGGTTCGGAGATACTGAGCTGGCACAGGGTGGGAAGAGCTCAGCCTTGGCTTCCCCTTTCTGAACAAATCATTGATCAACACTTTATTTGTATTGAGGGAGGGGCTCCCTGAAGGGAGGTGGGATTGCTCTGATTATCCTGTACATATGTCCCCCTTTGATGAATATGCTTTCCTACTCCCCTCTCTGTCTTTAATACACTGTCCTTTTGAAATCTTCTGGTCTGATATTCTACCGAGGCCACCAGCCTCACTTAAAGGCTCATCTTATCTTGGCCTGAGCTTCAGGAGGGAGGGAATAGAGCCCCCAGGGCCTGGGGCTGGTGCTGCTTCGAAAGGGCCAGGAGGCCATTCCTTAGGCCGAGCACCCTGTCTGTCCTGACATGCTCTGTCTGCAGAAGACTGGGGATAGGGCCCGGGGAGCTTGTAAGCTAGAATGAGCTGCAAGGTACAAAGAAAATTACTGAAATGGAGGCTACTGAGAGTCAGCGGTTTTTGTTGGTGGCTTTAGCCTGTCAGTCAGGCTGAATGGAGAGCCTCCATCACAAGGAGGCCAGTCCTGGGCACTGGGGGAGGGGGAGGAGGGGACAGAGTCTCTACCATTCTGAACTCTAGTCTGATAAAGGGGAAACACTCACACACACACACACACACACAAGCATAAAGCACAGACAGACAGATATAAAACAGGCACCAGCAAATATAGCCAGAATGGAGCCATTATATACAAATGTGGGGAGTGAAACAGAGAAGAGTAACCAAAGCCAGGAGGCTTATTGCAGGAGACAGGTCTTGAACAGGGTTTGGAAGAAAAGGGATGGTGAAAAGGCACCATAAGATATTAAAACTGAAAGGGGTGGTAGCTAGTCCACATTCTTTAATTCAGAGATGAGGAAACTGAGATCCAAAGAAAGGATATAATCTAACTAAGGTCAGACAGCTAGTTAGTTGTAGAGCTGGGACGAATAGCCCAGATCTCCCAATTTCTGGTTCAGGCCTTTTTCCCTGCTAGTCTGAGCATCTGTCTCTGGATGTGTTTGGTGCATCCTGGCATCCTGTGTTCTGACCTTTCAGAACTGTTCAGGGGCCTGAGCAGTCTCTGAGCCAGCCCCAGGAGCTTTTATTGTCCCAGCATTTTTGTAATCCTTTCCTCCTTTGGCAGTAGGGGCTATGAGGTAGGGTGTGTTAGGGGAGTCAGAGGGAAAGATCCTCCTCTCAACATACACACACACACACACACACACACACACACACACACACACACACACTCTCACTCACTCACTCACTCACTCACTCACTCACTCACTCACTCACGGTTGTCCCAGGACAGTGATGATCCCAGGCTAAGCTGGACAGAGTCCCTGGGGAATGGGGTCTTTTAGGGATTAGTGATACCCTAAATAGCACCTGCAAAGAGGGATGTAGGATCCAGGGCAGTCCTGGGAACTGGGGTCCATTCAAGCACGTATGGATGGAGGAGCCACATAATGGCTGAAAGGAGATGGGCACGGCCAGACAAGGGAGGGGAGAACGAATGAGGAGAGAAGCCTGGAACCAGCTCTGAAATTCCCCCCTTGAGAAAGTAGAAATATTAGACATGTAAGGGATGTGGTTGGGAAATAATTATGACCCTCACTAGTGGGGGAGTGGTGAGGAGGGAGGTAGAGAGAGGGAGAAATGAGGAGACAGAAATAGAGACCAATAAAGGAACAGCAGGAGACAAACAGAGTAAAAGGGATCAGGAGGGAGGGAGCGCCCAGGAGGGACCAAATGTATCCACGAATAGTTAACATTTCTGGGAGGCTTGAAGGTTTGCAGAACATTTGACATACATTAGCTCATTTGATCCTCGCAACAATCCTGTGGGGAAAGTAATACATTTATTATTATCTCTGTTTCACAGATGAAGAAATTGAGACTCAGAAGGGTTAAATCAATCACCCACCTTCACAAATCAAAAAAGTGCCATAGCATGGATTTGGACCCATGCCTTTCCAATTCCAGGCCCAGCCCACTTCCCAGCACACCCGGCTGTCCCACTGTGGACATCTTGAGGTCGTGTCAGAAGAGGGGGGAAGTTGAGGTTATTAAGCTGCTAGGTGGTACAGTGGAGAGAGTATTGGACCAGGAAGCAGGAACCTGCCTTAGGTACTTAGAGTATAATACCAGTAATATTATCTATAATATATAATGATACAATAATAGCAACAATAGTTATTATTATTATCCAAAATAATGTGTTTCTGATTGCCCTGGGCCGGAGCAGATGTGGGGCTCTGCAGCTGATGATTACCACCTCCACCTTGGGAAATGCTATCTCAATCAATCAGCCAGTTGGCTGACAAATGTATCCCATCAGGACAACCAGGAAAAGTCTTCTAAGAGAGCCCCAGGCAGGGTCCCCACTTTACCCTCATCTCCCTAGTACTCCATTCATCATCTTTCTTGGGAAATCATTACTGGGAGCGGAGAGGAGCCACCCCCACCACGGGCACCCCCCTGCAACTTCCCTGGCTTATTTGGCCAAACACTATATCGGAGAACAGTTGTGCTCATCCCAAGAAGGGCTTGGATTTTACCTACAAAAATCTGGGGTGGGAACTGAGGGGCTGCAGGTAGAAGCACCTTGTTCCCCTGTTTCTAAGACAGACAACAGATCCACCTGGCCTCAGAATCTTTTTCTAGCTAGCTCTCATGGAAAGCGGAGGGGACCCCTACTTTTTCCTTCTAACTTGGAGGCAGGCCTAGCTGATCAAGGAGGCAAAAAGGAGAAAAATCCTCGGGGACCTAGATGTGGCAACCTTCTGGAAGCTACAATGAATGAATGAATCTATCAACAATCAATAATCAAGCACTAATTAAGCAATAATTAATATTTTGCTGCAAGCACTAGGGTAGGGGCTGGCGTACAAAGACTAAAGTGAAAGTCTGCCCTTGAGGGGCTTACAGTCTGGAGGCTGGAGGAAAATACATGTATGTATGGTTACATAGAAAATATATAGAAAATAGACACAAGATTATTGGTGACAGTTGGAGAAGAAACTTGCTATGGGGAGGATCAGGAAAGGCTGAATGTAGAAAGCAGTTCTGGCCTTTTGCTAGACACTGGGCACAGGGCTTACCTCCCAAGAGCATGGAGGAGACATCTTCTGTCTGCAGCTCCTTCTAAGAGGGTCACACTTAGGCTCCTAGGGAAAGATAACAGCACTTAAGGGTGGAGCCAATAAATCCTCCTCTGGGGCCCACGTGGGATTTAGCCCTGAATATCTTTCTTTTCCTGCATCAATCCCCCGGCCGCTCCATTACCATTATTACTGTGATTATAAAGCAATCAGGGGGAAATCTTTTCTTTCCAATTCTGGAAAATGTCTCCCTCCCTCAAATAAGAGGATGAGAGTGAAGGGCCATCAGCAGTGCTCAGATGGCTCGGTTATGGTGCCTGGGAGGGGGAGGACTCTCTGCAGCCTGGGAGAAGGTAGAAAATGAGACGCCATTTCTCCTTCCCAGATGCTATCAGGCCTGGATTTCAGACTGCTCTGTGGGCCCTGCCTTGTGATCTCCATGCAGTTTTGGTTTTGGGGTGTCCCGGGTATGGTACGGGTGTCCCTAAGGCACCCGATGGATGATGCTTTGGAGAAAGGGGGAGAATTGGAGGACACAGAGATTGGAATCTGGGGTGAAACAGCATGGAATAGGAAGCACATGAAACTGACAGTCCTGAAACCCAAATTCTGCTCCTGCTCCCACTAAGAACTTACTGCATGACTTTGGCCAAGTCTTTTTTGCTTCCCCAAACTTCAGTTTGCATAATGAGGGAGCACATGGCCTCAGAGTTTTGGGATATTGGGAAAATAGACTTGGGGATCTGAGGTGGGTAAGGGGTAGGGACTCCACCTGTGAATTTGTTGATACAGGGAACTGCCACGTGAGGTAACTCTTTTTGCCAATGCCTGTTCATAGCTTCTGTGCCCAAGAGGATAAGCCCAGGGTTGCATAGTCAGGATGGAGAGGCCAGAGGCAATCTTTGCCCTTGGGTCTCCCTGGCTTTGTGGTGGGCTCTTCAGCCACTATACTATATTTCTCATTGCAATAAGGTGAGGGAGGAAGAGGGAAATTTAGAGACAAAGGAAAAATCTAGGTCATTTTGTTACCTATTGTGAGGCAAGAATTGTGCACAACTTAAACCATGATTTAAATGTGAACTATTATTATCATGATGGAGGAACACTCCCAAAGTGGAGGCCCCCAAACTGAGGCTGGATAACCCCTCATCAGGGATGTGAGAGGGCAGTCCACACTTTGGGTCAGAGGCTGGATGACGCGGCCTGCTGATTCTTTCATTTCGGAGCTTTGGGAGGCATCCCAGTCCTTCCCTCCCTCCTGAGCTGGACTCCTTCCCTCGGCAAGA